ATATATATATATATATATACATACACACACACATGTGTGTGTGTGTTTAATATGTGTGAGCTGTTAATAACAAACAACTCCCTTCACACCGCTTGCCCCGCAGCTCGGCGAGGCCCGACGCGCCACGTACCCCAACCTCAGCCTGTCAGTGCTGGAAGTCTACAAGATCCTCCTTGGCCAAGACTTCAGCCAATGGCGTGCCAGAACGACCGCAAGTCGCCTAGTGATCGCCTCGTGGTTGGTGGTTGCTCTGATTGTGGGCGTGGCGTACAGGGGCAACTTGACGGCCTCCCTCACCTCGCCGGTGTATCCTCCGAGGCCCGAGACGGCCGCGGCTTTGGTCAAGGCCGTGAAAAGGTGCGCAGACGAAGGGCGCGGCGAACTAACAATTCTGAATACCTTTCGAAATAATAATTCAACTACATTAGATAATTTTGTTTATTATTTTACTGTGACTGCATGTACTAATGCATATACATATATCTAACTGTACTTGTACGGTATTTACACCTTACACATCCTGCCCATAGGATCAATATCCCGCCCTACGGTGCAGACTGGAAGAAGTTTTACTTGGCTTCCAACTCTGAGGTTTTTAAAGCCGTCGGGAGGCTACTGTACGTCGGTCCGTCGATGGAAGAAGGGCTTCGGTTGACAGCAGAAAAGAAGTAGGCTGAATTACTATTTTTGTCCTAATTCCTTATCATTCTTTTATTGTTTAAGTCATGATTACTATGTCTTGTATTTTTTAAACCTTTGTTAACTAGTCTTCCATCATTATTTTGAATATAATATCTGTATACACATACAGATCGATTCACATAGGACTGCAACATTGAAAACAGACCTGACTTTCCATAAATAATTCCTTCCCTAGTCACGCAGTCATAGCCAATCGCCAATTTCTGGATTACATCATAGCCCAGAATTTCACGGATGCAACAGGCAAGGCGAGACTGTACGTGGCGCAGAGTAACTTGGAAACGGTTTTCATGGGCTACCCAATTCCTCACGGCGCCCCCTACAAGCCGCTGCTGGACCGCATTATCCTCGCCTTTACTGAGGTAAGAAGTTTTCAGCTCGTGGACGATCAGTTATGTTCAGTATAGCGCCGGGGATTTATTCATTCGCCTATTTATTTTTGTTGGACGTGCGTTGGAATCACATGTACTGCAAGGAAGAGTTTTTTTTATATATATAGCAGTGAATTTGTCTCAACAGCAAATACTTGGCCCTTGCCTTCTCCTTCTTAGGAACACACGATACATATTCATCAAAATACATTCACCCAAAAACTAACCTTTTTATACAACGGTGCAATACACGCACTTATCCAGTCAGCAGGAGCTACAGCATGCCAGCTACAGTATATGCATTCACCAGTTTAATCAACCAGAACTGCGCAGTTTCTCCTGTTTCTTCAGACAGCCCTCCGCGCAGCCATTCGAACCAAGTTACCTGGCTCCATGTCCTTCAAAGTCCCTACTACTTCATTTCTTCAAAGGTGCCCTCTACCTCATGTCCTCGGAAGCTGCATCTTCCTCATTTCCTTGAAGGTCCACCCTCTTTCTATTCTCGTACCAAGTAACATCTTCCCGTGGCCATCTTTCACTCCTTCCAACCAGCATCGATTCTTCAATTGCAAAACCTCCTTCCCAGACGATTTTCCGAATCTCAAAATTGTCAGCCATCTTATTATATATATATATATATATATATATATATATATATATATATATATATATATATATATATATATATATATACGTATATATATATATATATATATATATATATATATATATGTATATATATATTTATGTATATATATATATACACATATATATTATATGCACATATATATACGCACAAATACAAACATATGTGTGTGTATTTGTTCGCACTACTGCACCCTTATCCCCCCCCCCCCCCCAGAGCGGGCTGTTCCTCAAGTGGCACGAGGACCAGATGGAGAAGGTGCGCGCGGCCATCTTCCACAAGCAGCGCCAGCAGGAGGGCCGCCCCAACGAAGCAGCGTCCGACGGCCAAGCCACGTCGCTGAGCATCGCGCACATGCAAGGGCCTTTCCTGTTCTTGATGTTTGGTTTAGGTGCAGCTTTTTTGGTTTTCCTCGTTGAGCTGGTGCTCCGTATTCTGTTGAGTGCAGATCGTTAGTTGATTTTTTTTTTACATGCGCACGTCAGGCTTGTTTTCTTTGTTTGTTTATTTGTCTTCTGTTTATTCTATTTAATCACTATGTCGAAATACGTCTCAAATCAGTTCTTTTCGGCTGCAGGAAGTTAGTGGTATATAGGACAGGGTTATGGTCAGATGATGCCCCAGGATATACCTAATAATGGCACTGTCTTGGCCCCGCGCTATATCTCAGACGTCAGATGATATTGTAGGATCTATACAACCTAGATCTGCTTTGACCACATGAGTGTGATGACATAAATCACAAATTTTATAATGCCCATGTGGAATATCCCGTTTGGGTACTATTGTGAAAGTAGGCCTATCTATTAATTTCCGCTGTAACAACCTGTGCTACACCCTCTCCCTTGATGCCCCAAACACATATATATATTTTTTTTAATCATGCCAAGTAGTTTGAAATTTCAGACAGTGCTACTGATAAAAAAACGCGCCTTTTGCTGAAAGGACGGCGGTAAAACGCTCTCTACCATTTAGCGTCCTAGATTATCAAGAGCAAATACGACTGTCTAGTTTGATAATAAAATAGTCAGTGTTATTTTAGATTGGATCCCCGTCAAAGACCTCATGTTGTTTCAGTATTTTT